GGGGGGGGGGGCGTACTCTTATGTTTTGCATGTCTTAGCGGTTAGACCATTGACCACGCGTCCTCGAGAGGACGGAGCATTGTTCCCACAGGACCGATCACCGATGGGCAATCGTTCCTTTCTACGTTGCCAAAGGTGGCTCAAAAATGCCTTCCCTAGTCTGTCTATCCTAACGATATCCCTTCCCGCCTTTTCAACCCACCTCCTATGCCCCAGTACAGCTACCGTCCTTTCCTCTCTATTCCATGCCTCAAACATCTCCCTGTACGTTCCATCTATTTTTCCCAGCTCAGTCACGTACACTTCCCTCTCCTTCTTGTACAACGGACATTCCGCGACTACATGAACACGGTCTTCGCATTCGAAGCCGCAATCACATTTGAACTCGTCGTCTTCCTCGTCTACCGTCCTATGTCTTCGTCGACGTTCTCGAAGGCCTGTGTCCCCGGTCCTGAATTTGACCTGAAGTTTTGTTCCTGCATCCATTGGTCCATGTAGGTAGTCCTTGAACCCTATTCCTTCCTTCAACATTCCGTACACTTCTAGACCCTCCTTATCCTTGGATTCTTTCCTCAGATTCTGTTCTTCTCTCTCGGCACAAGCAACAGATATCTTCTCCTTGAACCCCTGTAGACCCTCCGTTTCCAGCGTTTCATCTTCGTCGATGTCGAGCCCCTTCCATACGTCCTCTACAACCTTGACCCATTCCGTGGGTTGTCTACCCCTCTTTTTGTTTGCCCACTTCGCCTCCCATACAATCCTCGGCAACCTCTCCTCTCCCATCCCGCACATGCGATACTGCCAGGTCAGCTTCCTCGCGTCTCTTCCCGACCGTGGGGATTGGATCCCCAGTTCTGCTCTGACGGCTGCGTCACTTGTGCGCCTGGAGCATCCTAGGATGGTTTTCGCTGCTTTCATCTGCGCCGCCTCGAGTTCTTTCACTACCTTCTTATTTCCTTCCCATACTTCTCCGGCGTACTCTAGCGGCGGTACGATTACGCTCTTCAAAACCGTCAATTTGATGCGTGTATCGAGGTGCCGGTTTGCGAGTATTGGATGCAGCTTCCCTGCTCGTGATTTGCCCTTTTCCGCTACCTTGGACATGTGTGCATTCCACGAGCAGTCTTTTGCGATCTCTACTCCAAGGTATGTGTACTGGTCCACTACTGCAATCTCCTCGATCCCCCACTTCCATCTATGTTCTACTGGTTCCTCCTTGTTCTCGTTGCATACCATGACAGCACTCTTCTTAACGTTGGCAGACAATCTCCACTTATCAGTAAACTTCTTCGCCTCGTCAATTTGCAGTTGCAGTCCCTCAGGGGTGTCCGACATACCGACAAAATCATCCGCAAACAGCATTCATGAAACCGACGTTTCCGTGTCCTCTACATTTACTCCCTTCCGGACTGCCTCTACGACTTCCAACAGATC